GTGTGTAATGCCGAGAATGTCACTGACAAAGCTCGAGTCATTTTGTCTTACCTCTCAGTCAAAAGGATGTGCGTTGGAAGTCCCACATTGAGGTTTGAGTTTACAGACTAACACCCCAGTGCAGTATTGGGGAAGCACTGCATTGGCACAGGTGCCACCTTTTGAATGAGACATTGAACCAAGGTCTCATCTGTCTGTATTCAGGTGGACTTAAAGAACCCATGACACAACTCAAAAAGTGATGGTTTCCCCCAGTGCCCTGGCCACCAATTTGCCACATGATTTATTGGCAAAATGGGCTGCCACGTTTGCCTATAAAAATCCACCACACTTGACAAGTATTACAAGTATGAGAGATGTTTTGACATGTTGAGGCACTTGAAAAATTCAAGTACCTCCTTTCGAGCGTTCTTAAAATTATTTTCCTCAACACAGCCTCCTCTGAGCTTTGGATCAAATCTCCGTGTCCTCTTGTTTTAGTTTATGCCTTATGTTAAACATGCAAAGGATTCAGATGATCTAATGTTACTCAAGTATTGCTTCAATTCAGCAGTGGGTTCAGAAATAGACTAGGAACATCAGTCCCTGCACATCTCCAGACTGGTTGTACCGCACCATCTGCTGGAAGTTTAGATATATTACATTAAGCTGTCCTGAGCAGCAAAATCATGTTGAAGTTGAAAAGAATTGTAAATGTGATATATGAAGTGCACAATGCCTTAATATGAAAGCTATAGCATCAAGATGGTTCAAAACACNTTTTTTTCCAAGAAGAGGAGAAATGCATTCTGTTAAGTGTGTCCACAAACAACCGATCCATATTGCTCAATCTATGCTCGCTCACGTTTTGCATTAAAAATTAGTCCAATGAATCTGAATCAGGGATTCAGGATTCTGAGACTCTTATCTATTTTTAATTTTTTTACTGCCTTGTCAGAGGTTCCGTCCTTTGGCTGACACAGTAAACCAAGTTCTGTCGAGTCAGCTGGATGTTATAAAGTTCCAAGGATTTGCTCGAAAAAAAGTTTCTCACAGCGTCCTGCACAACAATGCCTGATGTAACACCCACCCCACACAACCCCCAAAACCCCGTCAACCGGACTCCTGTGGAACTGTTCAAGATAAATGACAACACAAGACCCTGCCTGTGGTCTTGTAGCGATAATCTGATGACGATGACATTGTTGACACGTCTTAAAATACTTGGATTATACTATAAAGTGGTATGACTATTTTGTTGATGGTAAAGCAATATATCAAATGCAATGATTATTATAATTAATTCTGAAAGGGAAGTGAATTAATGTGCAGCTGACTTAACATGTAGCTGAAAAATCACTGAACAAAATGTCCTCCAAATGCAGAGGAAAAACATCTCGAAAAGACAGATAAAGCTTTGTAAAAAGCCTTTATTGAGTTAACACTGAAACATTATGAATCCCAGGAACATTCAGCAAATTAGCTCTAACGTAAAAGGTACCCGATGCATGACTGGGGCTTTACAATTCATTCTGACTGATAAGAAGAAAGTATTAACAGGGCAAAGTGATTCACAGGCTGAAGATGGAGGTTAACTGCAAAGATAATCTTCTATCACCAGTGTAAGAAAATGTGAACATGGTTCTGTACTGCTCCTTCAGAGAATTAATATCAAAATAACCAGTGCTGGAATTTTCTGGTCAATTTTCTGACCAATATCAACACTGGCAGATGATGGAAGGGTACTTGCAATGGACTTGTAAGAAAACAAAATACCCCACCCAATCTTGGGGCAGCGTACAGCATATTTCAGGAAACTGTAGCTGTTTGCTCCCGGAGGAAGAATGTGGCTCTGAAGAGCAACAGGTGTACAACGGGACAGGAACTTAGAAGGTTTGTACCTGCAGTTATTCGGGTTGGGATGTGGGGAGGAAGAGAAACCACACCAGTGCCAAACAGGCACCCAGCTCAAGCAGTATCCACAACTACTGTTCAGAGACTCACTCGTGGATTGGAACCAAACTGAAGAAATATGCAATTTACAAGAAGCGATCTGTGTATTATACCAATCTGCATTCATACAATTCTAGTGTTCCTATATCAGTGTAGGGAGAGGGAGGAGACAGAGAAGAGAAAGAATCCACAACCTCTAGCAGCTTTAGTTTCTAGGCCTGTTTATCAGCATTGCAAGTTCAACAGCCCAACAATGGTGTCAAACAATGAATCTGGCCCCTTCAGGATTTTACCCCCTTCACCCTCCCCCAACCCCCTCCAATCATTGGGCACAAAAATAAACCCTGGCATTATTTTACCGGCTGTCCAAAGAACTGAAAAAAATAATTTAGTGTTGACTTTCCAATAGCTAGCCTTTCTCCAGTTGCGATATAAATTGTGAAGCTGCAGTAAGCTTACCGAAAGTCCTATTAAAAATACACCACGTGCTTGACCAAATAATTCCTGACAGTGATTTTTCCACCACCCACATTAAGTTAGTCGCTCATTTTTGAACAGGAAAGTCAATATGGTTGTTGGCATTCTCATAACTTCTCGGCTTTTTAAAAAAGAAAAAAGTATCAGCGCATAAACAAATCAAGTCGTCTCCAAAATGACTCAATTAGACAAGACCAATCGTGTAGCATTATTCAGTTAAACGCACAGGCAATCACTGAATGTAGTGGGTGACATGTGGAAGGTCTACAGGCTGCCCAAATATTCAGTCCTAAGGAGAGAAAGGGGGTATGGAAGGGGAGATGGGAAAGGGAGGGGAAAGGAGATTCCACTGGGAGAAGAGTGATATAGATTTGCATTGTGAAAGGAAAATAAAAAATTCTCCATGTGGATCTTAAATTGACAAGATGAGCACATACGTCGCAATGTAAAGCGTACCCCATGTTGCAATCTGAACAGTTAACATTGATGTTGATTGAACTGGTGCTTTTTTTAAAAAAAATTCAATGACTTTGCATTCTTCAAAAAGTGAACCTTCAGATAAAAGGCTTAAATTAACAATGTTTACCGAGAATCCCACAGTGAACCCAAAGAAAAAGGCATTTCCTCCATTTTAAGATGCCAGTGTTAAAACAGGCGACTACCAAAAAAAACTGGCAATTGTAGATTTCTCTTCACAATAACCCTTAAGCGGTAAATTTCTATTTTTTTTTAAAACAAAAAAGACAGTACAGTATCTCTTCTCGTCAGCCTATCCAGGGTGTAATTCAAAGTTCACTGATCAAGGTTACATAACATTTTTAAAAAAAGTTTGATGCAGATTACACATACAAAACAAAATCAGATTCAAATGTCAAAAAATTTTGAATTTTGATTTACAATGAACAGCAGCTCATTCCCTAGCAACAAGTCAAGCAACTGCATTGAAAGAAACAAGGGTTAGAAGTTAACAGCAATGTCTGCTGGAAGAGGCATGCCATCACTGCTGACCCCACGCAGGTACATCAGAACTAATACTAATCAAACATGTTGCATGGACTAAGTGTCTGAATGGTTCCAATCGGCAACACTAATGTGCAGCCACCCAGTTTAGCAGAAAGTGTCATTATCTAGACTGCAGATGGAAGGAGAAAGAAAAACCAAACTGCGGGACCTGCTCACCACAGGCCATTACCCCAGCGACAAAGAGAAGCAGAAATGTAAAGCTACTTAAGTTATTTTTTTTTAAGCACGTTAAAGTTAAGAGTTCTCATATGAAGATGGCAAATTGAAAACGCACTAGAACCTTCTTAAAATCCACAGCTGCTTTATATTTCCCTTGCACTTTTGTGATAATCCAAAACCATTTCTCCCCTTGCGAGTATTACATTCATAATGACAATGTCTAAGTCCTATTGGTCCTGGACCAGTAACATACTGAACAATGATTGCAGCCCTGTAACAAGTGTAGTGGAGAATAGAATACCCTCCCTAGCCTGTCAGGTGGCAATATACACACATCATGTCACACGAGATTCAGAGAAAATATATTAAAACCAAATCAACCCCACGTCTTGGATTTGCTCAGATAATACACTTCATTATGATCTACAAAGGCAATGTTTCAGCAGATTGTGAAAATTAATATTGTATAAAGTCCTGTGTGTATCTCACAGCATTTACGTGTCCTGGGAGCAGCTGTGGCCCTTGTGTTCCCACCCGACATTCACTGCCGAACTCACTGCTCTCCCCGGTGTAGGGTGCATTTTAAGAGGGTCATGGAGGCTTGATTTTGGAAGGACTATCACTATGGGGCTCATGATTCATTTGAACACTCTGACCTTGGTCAGAGTCTACAGATGACCAACTTGACTATCTAAACCAGGGTTTGTTTAGCACTAGTAACAGAGGCCACAGAGTAGAACATCATTAGTAAATAGCTACGTGCAGAACTAGAGAGTAAGCTAACAAACAGAGGGTTGCTACTCACTCAGACAAGCTAAGAAATTGCCGCAGTGATTGCCCGCTGTTTAAACATCGTGCTTCAGGTTTTATAAAAGAGACATACCGCAACACACACTTTCTAAACAGCAATGCAAGACAGGCTTTTATACAGCACCTTTCAACTTGGGGAAATTCTCCCTACTTGACTATGGGCACTGCTGCATTGGCAGACACAACACAGGCAAGTGTTGCGATCATCGCAGCTGCCAGCTTTATTCCAGAATGGCAATCACAGGTCAGCCAGCATTAAAATGATTGGTTTGCCTCCCTCCCCCACCCCAGGTATATTTTTATCCACTACCAACTCCTCTTCCCCACCCCTCCCCCAACCCCCAAACTCCCACACACACACACAAGCACACACACAAAAGAAAAATTACTGATAATTCTGATTGTAGGCAAGTTTGTAACATTCTTCTGCAGAAGTACCTCAACCTTCGGCCTCTTTCATCTTAAACCCAGGCCCATATTCACAAAAGGCACAGATGCAATTTTTTTGTTTGTATCTTAAAATTCAGTCACTAGGAATTTTTTGGTGCACATACATATATATTTTTCAGAAACTTTTGTGAATATAGGCCCCCCCCCCACCCCCCCTCCCCAAGTGGATAGTCAGTATGAACTGTAATATGTCACCTAGTATAGACTGACCAAAGGGATACTGCGTCTTCGGTTTGTTTGTTTTAAATACGTGCTTTCCAGTGCTGCACTTCACAATGCGCATGTGGCCAGGTAACGCACACTATAGCTGGCCTCACCAAAAACCACCCACTGCAGATACAGAAAGTGAGCCGGGCTCTGGAGAAAAAAAAAGCATGGGGGGGAGGGGAGGGAAAAATATTCATTCATCATCAAAGTTCTGCTGGAGGAGGAAGTTTGCAGCGAGGTTTTCATTCTTCTCACACGCAAAGTAGGCTTGAATGACGAGTCCTTCAGGGAAACCCAACGCCTTTAACTGCAAGGAGATAAAATACAGAATATTAAATTCACGCACTGTTGCATTTGCCTATGAAAACAGTCACTGCACTTGACTAATTATTATAAAACAGAAATTCTGTTGACAATGGTTTAAAAATGCAAGTTATTTTCAATAAGAACTAATCTAATAACTATTATTGATTAACTTTGCATTTTGTATAGTGCCTTTCTCATCAAAAGATTTTACTGTAACGTGTAGCGACTGTATTTGTAGGTAAAGTTTTGTTCCTTCTTACAGGATACTTGATTGATCCATTGTGAGCTTGAAGAGCAAAGTAAAATATGTTACTCGCCAAAGCAACTCTTTAAGCTTCGTCCTGTTAATGTTGTCCAGGATTGACTGCCTGGTCATATATCTCTCTTTGTGCCAGAGGATTGGCTCTGGAAATGTCTAAGCCACCCTCATGCAGACAGCTGCCTGCACGTCTCTGGAAAGTGACATATGACCAATGTCTCTGCAGCCTCACGAACAGGACTACAGTAAGGTATCATTGGGCGGATATAAGCTTTCAGACCTGGGTACTGCAACTTGCATTTATATAGCGCCCTTTACATAGTATAGTATCTCAGAGATAGGAAGAATGTATTCAACCAAATGAAGAGTGATAAACTGCCTAATGCTGAAACAGTTTACATGAACTCAGCCAGGTAAAACATGCTGCCATTCTTTGCTCGTCTTTAGAGTGTATTGAGAGGTGTAGCAGTCAACAAAGAGTCAAAGAATCATCACCTCTACCTGTATCTTTTTCTTGCAACCTTTTGTATCAAAGACGTCCTGTAAAATCTACCATCTCTGTGAGTATTTGTGGACTCTTAATTAAAATCCAATGGAAAACCACTCTTCATAATTACAACAGCCTCGGAATTAGACCGGAACTTCTGTGAGTACTCAATTCCTTAGTGTTAGTTCCGTCCGCACAGGTGCCCGAGCTGAGGAAAATCGTACAGCGAACTCGTCCACACTCGGGGTCAGAGTTTGTGACAATAGGTCTCACACAAAAATACTTCCGTAAACTCAAACCATTTTTTTTAGTCAGTCATCAGTAATTATCTCACAAACACATAGTTAAAGTTAAAGTGAAAACAATCCTAGGGTTAGTGTGGCAGGAGAAACGTGCTCCTGAACCACATATTGAAAATCGCCTCCTGTAAGTGAACATTCTTAAAGAACTTGCATTTATATAGCGTCACTCAAGGAGGGTAGCGTCCAAGAGCGCTTGACAGCGGCGGAGAACTACGCCGAGCTGGGGGGAGGTGACCATAGGCACATTTGAATAGGGAGGTCTTCAGGCATGACCTGAAGATGGGGAAGGAGGGGGCAAGCCGGAGGGATAGAGGAAGAGTGTTCCAGAGTTTCGGAGCGTGGCTGAAAGCACGGCCACTGATGGTGGAACGGAGGTACATTTCCACAACTGTCATTACTATTGCAATGTTGTTTGGACACTTTTACTGGTACAAATACACACACACGCACTTAATAACCACTTACCCTTTCTATTGCTTCCTTTTCCTGGGGTGTAACTTGGATGTAGTTAGTGTGTGGTGACCCATGACCTTCTGCCCCTTCACCTGCAACCTCTCCCACAGGGTCATTCAGCATCTGAACAAACTGCTCCTGGTGCTGAGTTATTTGCTGTAATATATTTAGCAATAGTTGACATGGACAGGTTTGTATCGAACACACATATCGGCATGACACTGATCTAAACAAGGAGATTTGGGCTCCAGTTATATGGAGCACTGGTTGATCCTCATTTGGACTATTGGATTCAGTTTGGGTACCAATCCTGGGAAAAGTTGTACAAGCCTTGGAAGGCATACAGCAAGTATTCACCAGATTAATATTGGAGTGAAGTGCTTTAGCTATGATGTGGAAAGATTTGGGGTTATATTCTTCAGAGCTGAGAATAAGGGGTCAATTAATTGTGGTCTATGCTCTGCAGAAACCAGGGAAGAAGGAAAAAAAAACACATGGAATCCTAATCTCATTTGGAAGATTAGCAAAAACTAATACCACCTCACTTCCTCCATCCCCAAAATTGATTAGCCTGCTGAAAGACCCGGTGTTTAAGATCACACACAAAGAATGTCCTACCTGTAGGAGCGTTGGGTTGTCTCTACCAAGTTGCTGGAGTAGAGCTGGCAATAGTGACGGGTTTTGCTGTATAACCTGCCGCATCTGCTGAAACTGGGGTTGAGTTCGCAGAAACTCTAGTGGGTTACCTGGAAGGAACCAGCAAACACCTTAAGGAGGCAGCTTCACACACAGTACTTGTCAAAGTCTTAAGGAAAATCTAGTCAGGTTAGCTTAAGAGGAATACGTTCTTTTTGCACATTATAACCAAATCAGTTCCGCGATCATGCTTCAGAAACCTAAAGAGCAGATTATATATACTCTATCCTAACAAATCCTAAAATGTGTTGATTTCCTAATAGCCTACTCAGCTTGTACTGCCTCGTTTATCTCTGGGATCGTACCATTTATGAATCCACAAAAGGGGGGAGGGAATCAAATGGGTGTCTGTTGACTCCTCTTGAAAGATGATGTGTAAGTGTCAGGTGAGGATGTGATCTGGCTTGGCTGTATTGCTACACATGGATGAATTGCTCTTCCACCACCAAGACTCACACATAACTAATGATCATTTGGGCGAGCAGCCAGAGCGCATCCAGGGAACTGTAGCACAGAAGAACACAGATGTTCAGGAGGGAGCATTGGTGAGAAAATAAACTGATATTAGTTGCAAGCCACTAACCCCACTGTTAACCTGCGCCCTGTAATTTGTAGTGCTGCCAACTCAACCAGCTTTAGCTTGGTGACTGTGAAGCGTTAAATTATCAACACTTCCTCTGCATGAGAGAAATCCTCACTACATTAATGTTACTTGTGGAATCTGTGAGAATAATACCTGACCATATGTCACCTTTATCAATGTTTTCTTGCTGAGTCTGAAACTGTGCAAGACTCCCAGTTCTGCTGGTGAAGCTGCCACAGATTCTAATACACTAATACACTGCCACGGACTGAAGGTCTGAGGCTCCAATAAAGGTAACTCATCAGTTAAAAAAGAATCAGCTCAACAGTATTGTTTATTCATGATATTCTGTTATTGATCCCATCAATAGCTTGTACGTGGGAATCAATATTAAAGTTTTCACTCAGCTAAAGCTTAGTGTGGTTGAAGGGCCTTACTTTACAATCTGCATTTGATATTCATTGAAGAGGAAGTACAGGGGGAATGGGACCAGGAATAGGCTACTTGAAACACCTGCCAAAAGAGCACAAGTCTGCTCAGAACACATTTGACTTGCTTATGTCACAAGAGGCCAAAATCACTGATAAAGAGGCAGCAGAAAATAAGGGTGGGGGGGGGGGGGGGAGGAAGGGAAATAGGCATGTTCGTACTCACTTTAATCATTGGTCAACACAAAGATCTAGTCCTCACAAACTTGCACGACTATAGAGTGTACTCACTGCTTGGTGTAGACTGTGATGTCTGTTGTGATGGTGGTTGCGTTGTGACTCGAGGCTGTGGTTCCTCTTGGATTTCTGGCTCTGCTGGAATTCCCTAATCAAAGAGCAAAATACACCAGTGATCCACCTTGGTGTGTGTGCTGTGGCAATCAACATTTAAAATGTTAGCACAACAAGACAGCTCAAACAACGTGTAACATCTTGCATTCAGCATCCTTATGAAATGGGGATGAGGAATACAAGGATGAATGCAATACTACCTATGTCATGTGAGCAAACGTTACTGACAAAAATGTAAACTTTTCATCATTTCCAATTAGTCAATCTTAAATGTTCCCAGTGCAGAAGATGCACTGCAAGGCTTGCTGCCCATAGTAAGCACCTTTGAAAAGGAAAAGCCAACCAAGTCACTCATATTTTAAATATAAAACATGCACACAAAGCAACCCACTGCTACACAAAATAAGCTACAAAATATAAAAAGGGCATCAGCAATCAAAGGAATCGTGATCAATTTTGGCATATTTTGCTGCTGAGTAAACAGACTCCAGAAAAGTTGCTGAGCCCAATGAGCTATCAATAATGACACATGCTTATTCAGCTCCCTTACACACAACACAGCAACTCCTACAAGCCAGTTTCTCCAGAATTCTCTAGTTTGGAACCAAAAACTAGTTGAGAATCTTGCTTGCTATCCCTTGTACTGGACCCTTTTCAGACTCTCTCTATTTATTACTACCCTGAAGAAATTTGTCTCATTCATCCTTCTACTCGAGTACAGTTCCAGGGGCACCAGGATTATTCCTGAGTGAGAATCTCAAAGTGAACTCCTGAACTCAATCCTACTTCGCCCAACTTCAGTCTTGGGATAGAAATCCAGGGCAGGAACCCAGTTTATTAGATCATGGCAGATCTTTTAAACCTATTTCCACATCCTATTTTCTATTTCCCAACTCTTTGTCTCTCTCAAACATCTCAATCAATTCTGCGTCTAGCTATACTAAATGAGTGCAGGATTGGGTTTGCTGTGGTCAAATATGGTGTCGATATAGTTAAGACGCACACAAATAATGGCTTGAGAAATCCTAGAAAGAGTTCAAAAAATGCCATTAAGAGGAGAAACAATTTTTTAAAACATTGCAAACTGGAATCGGTTTTGGTGCTATGCTCACTGTCAGAAGATATTCCACCGCTCTGTCCGGATTGTTGAAGCTTGCCCGTAATGCTGCAAGAACCTGCTCCCGCTCGTAGCCCATTGACATAATCTCCGCCACCAGATTCTCATATGCCGTGCCTGTAACTGAGGTAAACGTTCAACATTCAGCTCAAAACATAAAACAATATGCATCATATAGCACCCTTCACATGGGCTATCATCCCAGAGCGACTTGAAAACTAATATTGGATGAGACAAAACTAAGTCATTTCCTAATCCTGTAACGGAGGGACTTGCAAACTGTAGAACTGTGCTTGCATTGAAAGGAGCTAATAACGGTAATTCCCTGGGAATTAGCATCGTAGAAAGACATTCTACATTCACACATTTACATTATTTTCATTTATAGCCTCCACCCCTGTAAGCAGCAGTCTTAAAATTGACCTATGCTTAAAATTTGTCTCCAACGTGGGTAAAAGGGACTCGTGCAATAGTTATTTCAATAAGGCCAATTAGGACACAAAACACTATAGCTTGGTTATTGGAGTACCCAGGACAAACTATCACACCAAAAATCAGACCTCCGTTCTCAAGACCAAACCTATAGACTTTCTTCAGCTGGGAGCTCAAGACACTGAATGCCAATAAGGTGATTATTTTAGCTTCTGTCCTCTAATGCTAACGATGGGGGAGGGGTTAGGAGAGAAAAAAAAGAGAACTGGACAAAAGGATTTTGATGCTGAGTGAGAACTAACTTTCGTGCACATATTGTTAGCAAATCAGAGTAGCGATGCCAGTAACTTAGAAACAGACTACCTCCTGAACAGCAGTGTGGACAGAATCTGAAAGTGTGTGTGTGTGTGTGTAGGGGTGTGCGCACATATCCTAAGGAAACTATGACAACATTCTAATGCTGCAGAGATAATATGTCTTCAACATCTACTATGTTGTCTTGCCTAGTGAGTAAACTAAACAGGACCTTTACCCTTTTTTGTGCAAATGCAGTATGTTCGTCAGGTAACGTTGACATGAAAGTAAGGACACTGGAATTTTAAAATGTAACATTCAAGCCTGACAGAAAGTTGACTTATCACAAACATTACATTAGCGATATCATCCATCATCCCTACAGAGAACGAAACTCACCTAATGTAGAGGAGGCTGCTTCCACCAGATTCAAATCTATTTCTTCAGTCAGAGGTCTAAAATGATAAAAGAGCAATAGTCAGCTCGCCACACTGACTTCTCAAAAGAGCAATAGGAAAGGCACTGGAGAGGGTGATTCATGCAGTGATTTTTAAAGAAAACTTTAAAAAAAACAAAAGCCCTACAGATTAATAATTTCAACAATGGTTCACCTTCCCCTTTCCCTTTAGAACCCAAAGATTTCTGGAGCTTAGTGGTTAGAGCACTTGGCCAAGTTTCCTTACTCCACACTCCTCTGTTCACCTAGCAGAAAGTCAGAACCCAGTCGTTAGTCGATTGGCGGACTGCTTTTCCAGGGCTAATAATCCCTTCTAAACAAAAATTATAAACACTACCGCATTTTACCCATAATACTCAGTCACTACACTTTACAGTACAATCTGTGAAGCACTGAGAAGTCTGTGAAGCACTGATAAAGTGCTATATCAAATACAGGGATTATTATTATCATCATCAATGTTCATTCTTGGATCTTTTGACGTGAAAGGCATTGCTGCTAATTCCCATACAATACATCTACAAATACATCTTCAGTCCTACATATTATTTCTCAATAAACCTACAATAAATGAAGCTCGTCAGCATCAACATTGTGCATTATATCAACTTAGGTTAAGAAGAAGCAAGGAGTTCAATAAAAAATTTACAATGTCATCAAACTCTGTAGGATTATATTCATAAACATTTTATTCTTTACATGCATTTCCAGCATTCCCACTTGTTCAGAAGCTCCCATTATTTTTTGGATCCAGCTGTAAGGAGCTGTGGAGGCAATCATTTGGGAATTTGCCCTCTTATAAAGAAAAAATATCCAGCCTCGAATAAGATTGAAATCCATTGGGGAGAGAAGGGGTTAAAAAGGAACTGTAGAGTAGTGTATAATAATCCCTGCATTTGATAATAGTGCCTCACCACGTCTACGTCTCAAAGCATTTCACAGAATATACTGTAAATGGCTGTATATTTTGTGGGCAGCAGCCAATTGCGCACAGTAGTGTCCCACAAACAGTCGTGACCAATTTATTATTATTATTTTTTTGAAGGAAATATTCCCCCGGAAAAGCAATCCGCCAATCGACTAACAACCAGGTTCCCACTTAATGCTAGGTAAACAGAGACGGGTGGAGTAAGGAAACTTGCCCAAAATTTCACCCTGCCGGGAATCAAACCCAGGTCTCTCGCTTGCGAGTCGAGTCCTCTAACCACTGAGCTACAGAACTCCACAATGTGTGCTATCTGGAATTTATGAGATACAGTGGGAGTATAACATGCATACCAAATACCAAAAGGTATACATACATCTTCTTTGACAACAGAAAATTGCAATTTAATTACGAAGCTAGCCCTGGTCTAAATAAGATTCCAAGACTTTTATAGGAAGATAATGACCTTCGCACGTACACTGCTCTCGAAACAAATGACGATTTTTCTCATTCACCTCAATAAACAAGAGCAAATACATCCACACTTTATAATGCAAGTCAATAAACATAATGGCTCTAACAAAATGGGCAGCAAACGTGTACTCAGGAATTTTAAAAGCACTATTCTCTTCAGTTCAACAAACCAACCAACCATCTAATGGTAGTCCAGCTCCAGATTCACCAATTTCAGGTCACCAATCTGATATTTGGAATATTAGTCCAAACTTTAGGTAAAAGAACAGACTGGATTGGATGCTGCTCTATTCCTTGCCAGAGGGAGCTGGAAACATTTAAATGGCATTTCAAGCATCCTAATTAAATAATAACCATTGTATTTTGATATAACGCCTTATCACATTGCTGAGACCTCTCAAAGTACTTCACAGAATATATTGTACAGTGAATTGACAGTATTTTGTGGGTGAAACACAGCAGCCAATTGCGTACTGCAGTGTCCTACAAACAAAAAAAGTCATGGATTGATGTTTTTATATACATATGTAATATAAATAAAATGTCCCAATGAACTGCCCAAGTCCTTCTGCTTTTCTCCACCTTAGAATTGGAAGTCTCAGAAGCCCTGATGCGCTCAGGCATATACCTCGGGGTTGCTTCAGGAGCAGCGCTGCTTTCTTCTTTTGTTTCTTCTTCCTTTGGCTTTTCCTCTGAGGCTGTACTGGAAGGCTCTGACGCTGGAATTGGGGTTGGTACTGGTGCCAGTGTTGGTGCAGGGACAACAGCAGCTGGGGCTGGGGCAGGGGTAGAAGTTGTGGTGGAGGCACCTGCTGTGGTACTCGCTGGAGTAGGCGATGGAGAAGCCTGCACCATGGGCTGTACAGGTGCAGAAGCCGCTTTAGGCTGTTTAAAAGCAATAAAGGTTTGTGACCAAGTCAAATGCATTGAACACACACACACAAAAATCAAAACCCCTCTTTCAGTGATGACACCATTGGATAAAATGTCAGTGAGAATAGATACAGAGCCTTTGAGAATAAGCAACCCCAACAGGAAATCCCATTAAGTAAACAAACATTTCTTATCTGGAGAATTGTTGGCCAGGACACCAAGAGAAACTTTTCTCTTCTTTTTTTCAAATAGTGTTATGGGACTTTTAATATCCACCTGGACAGGCAGAACATCAGTTTAAGGTCTCATCCAAATTCCAGGAACTCCAAAAATGCAACATATTTGTCATGAGCGCAATCTCATAATACACATTCTAACCTACTCCCAACCTCTGAAAACTACCCCTACTACACCAATGATATTTCCATTCCAACCCTCCATATTGCCATAGTGACATTGCTAATTAGCCCTACCTGAGATTGCACCCAAACAGATAGCAGAAAGAAGTACTGATACGTTGGTTGGGATGGATTAAAATTTAGGTCCCAGAAAAAAAGGACTGCTTAACTCACAGTATCTCCCAGAAACCCCTCTCAATTTCAGCTCCATTTACCTTCGTTACCATAACCACTACGAAATTCTTCTCATCGATTTTGTAATCTTTGATCTGTGTATCATCGTTGAGGATTTTACCTGAAACGACAAATTACTAGCACTTTATTTGGGACGCAATGGACAGCTAGGCAGTAGCAACGAAATGAGTTCCCATTTCTCATCACTATTCAGTGATTGCTTAAAAGTACACAAATGTCGATCCTAGGTATTGTCCAGGTTAGCCTCAGTGGAATAATTGGCCAATTGACATCATCAAGATAGACACACAATGAATGTGTGCCACTTGGGACAGCTACTGGAACTATACCATCTAAGCCACCAACAATAGAACAAGTATCACAGAAAGACTATCTTTGCAGAGGATTCTACATGGAGCTTAATAAAATTGATTAGTCAGTTACAATGCATCTGTGTCAATGGGTAAAGCTGCTTCCACAGGTGGGCAAATACTGCTGTGCAGAGTTGCTGGAGCAATATAAAGTCTCAGATTTCCCCTCCTTCTCAAGCATCAGACACAGTATCCCTGACCTTCACCTGATGGGAAAGAGTTCTAAAACTCACTGCATTGGAATTTGTGGGAGCAAAGCCAATCACTACAGCTATGAGACACTGGTGTTCAAACACACTGAAATCCACGGGTTTGACAATTGTATTCATCCAGGATAAATAGGCTAACTCATGAGCAGCATTATTTGCACAGTTAAATCACGAGTACCACCAGCCTGTTGAGAGGCCTCCAGTCAGCCTGTTCTGGTACAATTTTATCCTTTGCAATAGAAACTATTGGTAAAAACTAACAGGAATGGGAAAAATTGTGCTAAGAATTCAGAGAAACTTACTAATCTGCATCCTCATTACTCTTATCAAAAATACTGCATTCATTTTGAAAAAACAGAAAGAAGCTACAAGAAAGGTTTAAAACGTCTTGAATAGTCCTGTTTTTTTTCCTGAAGCCACCGTGTAGATATATCCCATGTTATGAGTTATAATAATCCTTGCATTTGATATAGCGCTTTTCACGTTTTCTAGATGTCTCAAAGCGCTTCACAGAATATACTGTAAAGTGAATTGACTGTATATTTGCGGGTGAAACGCGGCAGCCAATTGAGCACAGCAGTGTCCCACAAACAGTCATGGATTGAAGTGACCAATTTATTACTGTTTTTTTTCTTGAGGAATTATTATTAGGTGTGTGGAGTAAGGAAACTTGCCCAGATTTCGCCCTGCCGGGAATCAAACCCAGGTCTGTCGCTTGAAAGGTGAGTGCTCTAACCACTGAGCTACAGGACTCTTGTATTAGAATTTACTATTGGGATAACTCCTAACCACCTAACCCAATAGGCTTAAGCCTTCTTCAGCCAAAGGGCGAGAATGTACTGGCCAATCTCCTTGGGCCTCAATTTTTCCACCTCAAAATTACATGTTCTGCTGTAGAATGGATATATGCTGCAACATGACTAATGCAGCCCAGATGACCAAAAGGCTAATTTACTAATCGGAAAACAAAACATGTTGTCCGAGGCTGGGATACAGTGATAGGACACAAGCTGGCGGCTAAGAATCTTCATGTGACAAGTTGCTAATGTCTGTTTGTTGGTGGCCTACAAAGCGAGGACAAGTAGGTCCCCACAGATGTACAGTTAATATAAGCAAAAGTCTGGGAACAATTTACCTATTTGCAAGTGAGGGAGAAAGGAAAGCAAATAAGAAGTTCAAACACTCGCTTCTACCAGTTCATTAAACACTGTGTTTTTGTGTGGGATTTCCTGAAATGTTCTTGTGAGCCTCAAGAGCTGAATGGGAATTAAACTGGAAACAGAATGGTGTGCTAGGGCAAGCATATAACAACAAAATTACATTTATAGAGCGCCTTTCACGTCGGGAAGACGTCCCAAGGCGCTGGACAGTCAGGGGTCAGGATCTGAGCATGGGGGAGAGGTGGGTAAATGTGAGGGAAGGCAGAGAGTTGGGAGGGCGACTGATGGCACAATCGAAGAGGAGGGTCTTGAGACCAGCCTTGAAGGAGGCAAGGGAGGAAGCAAGGCGAAGGGACTGTGAGATAGAGTTCCAAGAGTGTGGGGGCAGAGAGGCTGAAAGCCCAGCCACTGATGGTAGAGTGGGTCGGGCGGGAGACATGGAGCAGGCCAGAGCTTGGTGCATGAGAGTACACAAGCTGCTGAGTTTCGGATGATTTGCAGCTTGTGAAGGGAAGAGTTGGGAAGGCCAATGAGGAGGGAATTTCCATAATCGAGCCTTGATGTGACGAATGCGTGGGTGAGGGTTTCGGCAACCTGAGGGTGAGGCAGTGATGGAGTCTGGCAAAGTTGGAGAGGTGGTGGTAGGCAGTGCCAGTCAAGGCGCAGATGTGGGGGAGAAAGGACAGTTCAGGGTCAAACAAGACACCCAGGTTCCTGACTGGCTTAGTGAGGTTGAGTGTGCAGCCATGGAAGCTGATGCTGCTAGCGCCGAGGTGCGGAGGTGCTGGCGCGAGCCAATCAGGAGGGCCCCGGTCTAGGCACAGGTCTTGGAGGGTGTTTGGACTTCTTTGTGTAAGCTTTGTCCTGTCACTCGCTTACAATACATCGCAAAAGTATCACTCTCATGAATGCACTACCTGCAAGTCCAATGTACTTGAGCTTTTGTGTACACAGTTTATTGATGGGTTAAACAATGCATTGCCTCAGTCGTACCTTACCTGCATATATTAACTTTTGACCAGCAGCTGGGAAAGCATCACTTCCTTTCTCTGTTTCAATCTTCTCCTTCAGCGCCCTTACCTGAAGGATAAATATTACAAAGGAAGAGGTCAGCCTCTGAGCACTTTTCCCATTTCTAATTCCACAACCTGATAATGGAGAGATCGATAACATGCATGTCAAGATAGGGTTAAAGATATGGTTTTAATTACCATTACTAAAGGAATGTAGTTATGGACCTTCAGCAGCAGGTAACATCATTTTAAATGTACTGTATTGTCAATCCAGGTTAGCAGCACCTTCATTTTACATCTGTATCCAGCTCAGCTAACAGCTGTTCCATTTTCAATGCAGGAGACTCTAAGGTTATGTTTTATGCAGCCACACATTTGCAACCACACTATGGTTGTGTTATCTGTGGTCAACATCTGATATACATAATCAGCCGAGGAAGGGCGGGTAAATGGAATTAGGGTATGGGGATAGTGCGGGTAAATGGAATTAGGTTAGAAGATCAGCCATGATTTTTTTAAATGGCGGGGCAGGCTCGAGGGGCTGTATGGCCTACTCCTTGCTTCTATGACTTATGGAAGACGTAGGGCCAATAAAGACTGTGGTGTAGACTGTGCCCAGCAATCCCAACCCCGATATCTTCTAATGTCGACAATACAGTTTGAAACAACACCTGGCTGATGAGACCAAGAAGGTGGGAGTGGTCTAAAGGGCTAGCAGCCATATTCTATGTCTGAACAATGAACACTCTTTTGCACCCACACACAGCCATTTACAAATTACCAGTCTGTATAAAGTACTATGAAGTAAATTTAGAGTTCTTATTTTAATGTGGACTGGTGTCTCAGCTGCTACTCCTGACTAAGCAGCTCTCAGTCTTCTAAACCCAATATCTTTGTAATGGGATCAAAGGATTCTACTATTCGGACACATTGAGCCATCACTTGAATGTACACTAAGCAAATTTTAAATAGAACAAAGCCATGGGAAGGAACCCTGGGGAATGGGTTACATTTCCTGCCAAAATAAAAACCATTTCAAAAACTAAACATCCTAGAGTCGATTTTTCCTTCAGCATCTACAACGCACAACTATGATCAAACCACATGTTCAGTACTCCAGCATTCCCACAGGACTATGCTCATAAAGAGATGGCTTCACTTAAACAAGTCTTTGATATTTGCATCATTATGGTCCAATTGCAATTACATGTACAATTACATATCTTCAAACCAGGGTGCAGCACAATTGAATCCACAATGACACAGTATTGAGACAGAATTGAGATTCACATTAATGATTCTAGACTTCTTGAGTTATGGACGGCACTACGTGGTAATTTTTATAAAGAAATGATTATGATGGGAATATCAACTTCAACACATCACTTCATCACATTTTATCCAGAGAGGGAGGATAAAATCACTAAAGCTATACCGACCTAGTCATAGGTACACCTCCATAGGTGGGAGGTTGAATGTGAGATAACCATTGTCAAGAGGTGCTTAAAAAAAATTCCTGTAAGGAACTATGTGAGCAGTGGCAGGCAGATCAATCAATGGGTTTCTACGGATAGCCTCACTAATGCCACCATTGAGATCACATTGATAGTATTCCATGAAGCGAACTGGAGGAGGAAGAGAGAGAAAAGTGAAAGAGGTATACGACTACATATTTTGGATACAAAATTAAAGAACAAGGGTTCGTTCATATCATAAAACTAAGGACAAAATGGAATGGAAAGGAAAATGAGGCACTTTGCAGGTGGAACAAACTAATAGAACAGGTGTTGCACAAGAATCTACAAATGGTTTCGAAAAGGAACTACACTAGTTCCTGTCAATAAAACGGATTCATCTCAGAATTTGAATTTTTCAGCTCCCCTTTTAAATACTCTAGTCACCCTCTGTACTATATGCTACCCCCAGAAGAGATCAAATGTGACATGGGACTATTCATGTCAAGAAGGAGGAAACAAATAAATCAATAAAGGTCTTGTCAGGAGCTCTACCTCAGGTTACAATGACCTTGCATCAGGGACTTGAAGATGCGCAAGAGTAACCGATTGATTTTCCCTCAAATTCTCTCCAGCCGCAAACAGTAAAACACCATCACTAACAAGCAGACTTAAGGAATCCAAATTTGCAATAAGAATAATCCTTGCATTTGATATAGCGCCTAATCACATCTTTGAGACGTCTCAAAGCAATTCACAGAATGTACTCTAAAGTGAATCAACTGCATTTTGTGGGCAAAACGCGGTAGCCAATTGCGCACAGCAGGGGTTATTATCCCCTGAAAAGCGACCTGCCAATTGACTAATAACTGGGTTCCTACTTACTGCTAGGTAAACATTTGTCACTTTGTTACTTGCATAATTTCCAGTTTAGCAAAATGCTGATCGCAGTAAAACATTTCTTGGCAAATAAGGCTTAGTTTTAATCAGCTGCATAGTGGTCTTGTTTGATCATTTCTCAAACACATCTGTACCATGGATAAAAACTGCCTCAAGCTACTCTCCCGTGCCAAGCGTAAAGTTTTCATTTAGACACAATGGTTCATGGTGCTTCTTATCTCCAGCACTACTGCCAACTCGACCCAGTGCACCCAACAGCTGCTTATCCACCAGCTGGATATTCTATATCAGACTCTTGAATTTGCTGCATAAGCAACAAATTCAAGAGTTTGATATGGAATATCCAGCTCGCCTCCTTAACAATCACAAGCTCCAGACAGATCTATTCATTGATGTTAACTGATCTGCCTGCTTCTGTAAACTCTTCAAGCAACCTGAATTAGCTGTGTAGATACCAGAACACAAGACAACTTGTAGTAGTGCTATATAGAGAACAAAACAGGAGTGGGAAGTTATAATGGAAAGGTGTGGAGTTATGTGCGCACATACAACCCCACCCACACAGAAGTGGAACAGCTAGAGGAGAAGCCAGATTAAAGAATGGGGAGGTTAAACGGGGCTAAAAAAAAGACATTAAGAACATGCAATGCCTATCTTCCTTTCCTAATCCACCAAGTAACATCAAGACAATTACGATCCCAACATGTCCATTTTAACTCTTAAGCATAATGTTTCATTGTCTTTCCACTATCACTCATCTCCATGTCTCCCTTATGCCTCTGTCTTATTAAAGTCCAGTTATTGGCTTCCAGTCTCAGATTACCTTGATTATCTTGTACTTTTCACGATCTGTTAATAAGGCATTAACTATTGCTTTGTGATCTCATCTGTTTCTAAAGTCTGTTGCCTGATTCTACTTTTTTAATACTAATAAAACCAAAATGCCTGTGTGTCTGTCAAGAACGCAATAATCGATTGACGAAGAGAAATCATTTATAACTAATCGGAAAGCCCTTGCATGGGGAGTGTCACGGACAAATCTTTTTTCGGGGATCTCCCATTTTGATGAGCTATATTAAAAAAGGTATGCATGGTATTCTACCGCAAAGCAGCAAGAGATCACGCACCCTCACAGAGAGATGTATCTACACCAATAAAGGCAAATATCTGTCTGTGTGTCTGTCTAACCGACTGACGTAGAGACATGAGTTATACCTCATCGGAAAGTTTTGCATCTTGCAGAGAGCCGCCCCTGCCCCAGCAGGGAGCGTTCAACTGTCACGTCCAAAAATTTTCTCTCATTCAGACACTAGTCAACCCAACAACTGAACGATTACAAAAGGAACATGGATGACAAAGCCCTTGCAAATCATTCCTGGCCAAGAATGTACAAAGATGTACCTAGCTTCCAATTCTCTCTCGCTCTGTAGTAGACCACCATGAAGTCTCACAGGAGCAGCAGCTATCTGATTTCACAGCAGGAAACGTTCTCGTCTTTGCTCAACACTCCCCTTCACAAAGTTGCGAACTTTGAAAGTATACAAGTACAAACTCACTTCCTCAAATTGCACCTCCACTATTAGTGTCAGGTGTTCAACCCTTCTCATCAGACCCCAAAGAGCACAACTGAAATCAACCTCCAGGGTCAACGAGACCGGAGAAGCAACATATCGAAGAAATAAAGTATAATTCTGGATATTCAACTTCTCTTCTTTCTCAGAAGAGATGGGGTGGGTTTTGTGGTCAACAGAGTGAGGAATGTCAGGAGGAGAAAATGGAGCTGTTTATCAACGGGTGTCAGTATCGAGTAAGGTCAAGTTTAGCATTGGTTAGATACAAAGTATGCATTCCTAAAAGAAAACATCCTGCACCAGAACCCAGCATTTCCTTTCCATGCAACAGCTAACTGTAGTCAATTAATCGTGAATTAAAAAGTATTTTGCCTCCAGACTCTCTCTCGCAAACTATTCCTGATTTTTAAGCCTTGATTATTAAAACCAGATATCTCATCAGCCACCTTAACAATTTGCTCTAAGCTTCTGACTTCCTCTGCAAGACATTCAATCCAAACTCTGCTCATTGACTTGCTCAAACCAACATCTCTCTTATCAAGCCAGTTCATTGGGATAAGTTCATAACAGCTTTCGGCAGCAAATCATTGGGCTATCTTGTTTATCCGTTCAACTTCCCCAAAAATTCCTTGGGCATATTTATCTCATTCACTTACATGTGTCAGCCTGGTGCCTGAGTCAGAAGGTTGTGGGTGCAAGCCCCACGTCTGGACTTGGAATCATAATCTAAGATGACATTCAAATGTAATGCTGGGGGGGGGGGGGGGGGGGAGAGGGGGAAGTGTGCTGATTTTCGGAGGTGCGGTACTATGGATGAGACGTTAAACCATGGTCATATCTGCCTGTTCAGGTGGATGTTAAAGATCCCATGGCGCTATTTGAAAAAAGGGAGTTACTCCCGGTGTCCTGGCCAACAATCCCCTCAAAAGAAAATTGGTCCACGGCTGTTTGTGGGTCATTGCTTAGAGCAACTGGCTGCTACATTTCACCCCAAAATACACAGTCAATCCACTTTACAGTATACAACAACAACAACAACAAGATTGCATTTATAAAGCGCCTTTCACGTCAGGAGGACGTATATTATTGCTTTGCACTGTATATTAGTGCTTTGAGAGTCTGAAAGACACAATAAGCCACTA